GGCGCCCGGGGGATCGAGGGGCACGGACTCTGCCAGCGCCCGGGGGACCGAGGGCCAGGTACCTCTGTGTCTGGCTCCAGGACCTAAAACGAGGGCTGGGACAGCGTCTAAGGAGCACAGCTGGGAAATGCCAGCGGGCAAACGTGGATGGACAGCTGGGGCCCTTACCCTTTGGGGGCCGTGGAGACGTGGGAGCCCAGAAAAGCGAGGGACCAGGGGAGTGCACGTTATTGCTCATAATTTTAGGGGCTTGGAGTTACTCTGTGGCAGAGGCCCCCAACCCTGGACCGCGGACCGGTACCGGCCCGTGGCCTGTTAGGAACCGGGGCACACAGTAGGAGGTGAGTGACCAAAGCTCCATCTGTATCTGCAGCCGCTTCTCAGCGCCAGCATCCCTGTGTCAGCTCCGCCTCGGATCATCGGGCATTAGATTCTCAGAGGAGCACGGGTCCCAATGCCACAAAGGCTGGGGACCGCTGCTCTATGGAGTTCACGCACAGAGCCCAGGCTAAGACCCCCTTGGTGCACAGGGAGGGACTGAAGGTCACGGAACGGATTCGAACACACGCCCTGGACCTTTCCCGGCCTAACTGTGTCAGGGAGGAGGGGCAACTCCGGCTGTGGGAGCTCCGAGGCTGGGGGGTGGGCAGCAGCCCTAGCACTGACCTCCAGGGCCTGGGAGGACCCTGCGCACATCCCCGCTTTCTAGTTTTTATTTACAGTTTGCTTATTCATATATTTGTTTGTTCTGAGGATAAACCTGCATCTTTTACAGATGGATCTGGTTTTGTTGAACAGCCGGAGCCAAGCTGGATATAAGGTGGATATATAGGAATATGGGGGTTAGGAATGCACGGTCAGAAATAGCGTGGGGTGGACCGGAGGAGGGACACAGACCCAGGTGGGTGGCCCAGTCAGGATCGGCACGCTGTGCTTCTGGGGTGCCACCTGTGCACACGGCGCTGCACGGCCTCGGGGCCGGCTTGCTGGTGGGGTGGGGAGAGGGGGCTGACGAGGACAAGTCGATCACCATCCAGCTCTGAGAGTCGGAGCCTTCTGGTGCTTTGGCTTTTTCCTTGTCTCCAGTTCCAAACCAGAATCCTCCTCCCCACCCGCCCCGGGGAGTTCCCCGGCTTCCCAAAGCACGTGGTCCAGAAGGGGTGGGGTGGAACGAGAAGTCGGGGCCAGCAGAGCCGGGGGAAGGATGGGCGAGGTCTGCTTACCTCCCACATCCCACTCTAGTGCCCCCAGCCCAACACCGACGCTGCAGAGAAAGGGCCAGCAGCTCCGCATTTAAAGCTTTCGTCAGACCCTTTTCGCATCCCCAAAAAGACCAATTTTGAATCGTTTTGGCTAGGTGTCCATTTGAGCCCTGCCTGTCTGATTAGCAGAGTTGAAAGAGAAATCATTTTGGACTATGGGATTCCGGCTGCAAGAAAATCAGATTTCCAATATGTTAGAACTTTTACAGATTGCTGTCAGCTGGGACTTAAGCCCTATACAAACCAAACAAACAAAGCGGAAATTAATTTAAACGATTCCCTTGCAATTCTTGCCCACGGAATGTATTTATTATTAAGAAAGCAATGTTCTTTCCTGACTTTTCAATATACTTTTTAAAAAAAAATTTTTTTTTTTTTTGATAACTCACTCCTTCTGCCAAAGGAGATTCACGTTCGGATATTTTCTGTAAGCGTTTGGTTGCAACGCGTAGCAACCCACCTGCAACGTCAATCAGCTCTTCCTTCGGAATTTGCATGTTCTCATGGGCAGTGTCGTGACTTTTACTCATGCAATGAGCCAAATGGATGGAGACATGAATAAGTGTCTCCTGTCCTTTCTTTGAAATAAAAGGCTTCACACCTGCTCCTTCCCGCTGCTCATTCCCCTTGAGAGTTCTCAATTACTGCCCCTCTTCACCCGTCTCTTCCCTCTGCTGCTTCTTGAACTTGAAAAGAACATGGTTGATTTGCAACACTGTTTTCCCCTGGACTCACTGCCTTCCGTCTGGGTTCGGCTGCACCATCCTGGAACCTCATATTAAGGAATCTGTGAAAATGTACCAAGCACCTACTGTGTGTCCTTCGGTGCCAGTGCACGAGAAGGAGAAAGCATGCCTGCTGCCTTCCTGAGCCGCCCCTGCCCCCTCTCTCTGGCACGCTCCCCAGCCCAGAACTGCTCGGAACCATCCAATAACCAGGATGATGCTAAAAAGAAAAATCGCTGTTTCTACACCAAGGCTCATGCATTTTAATTAGAGGAGCCCTTGGGGCCTCACTCAGAACCTACTTGCTCTATTTTTAGACATCACTCCAACCACCCTGGTGTTCCGATGTCTCTGGTCTCCTCGGATGAGAAGGCAGGAGAGGGGGAATCACTGCCAAGAGCAGACCCCGATGAGAGCCAGCCACGCCACAGGGCACCAAGGGCGAGGGGGAGCTCCCCAGGGCCCCAAGGACTCAAGGAGCTTGCGGGCATTGGGTGCCTCCCCGTGGTTCCTTGAGAAGCACACCGGGGCACTCTGTGGCCCGTTCGCCCCTCTGTGTTCCCCGGGCTGGGAGACCCTGGAGGGAGGGAGCCCAGACCTCCTCAACGGAGATGGCACCCCCAGGACACTGGTCTCTACAGCCTGGTACAGAAAAGGACCCAGAGGAGGAAAAATAGGGCATAGATAGAGGCTCTGTTCATCCCTCTGGCGACCAAATCGAAGTCGTGACGGAAACAAGGAGCAGCAGCAAGGAAACATCGCCTGGGATCTAGATGAACAAGCCACACAACTAGGGAGACGTCCAAGACAGCACCCTGCAACGGCAGAAGGCAGGACGGGGTGAGGACGCCGGGCTGCCCGGTCCCGAGCGGCTGAGTGGGACGGAGGCTGCGGCAGCAGGAGACGCCTCTTAAAGGGGCCGCGTCCGCGAGCGGATTTTCGCGGTGACGGACCTGCTCGCTCTGAGCACCAGTGCCCACACAGCTGCGTGCGGGGGGCACCAGGGACTTACAAGGAGACATTGTTGGAGTGAAGGCCGAGGTGAGACTCGCCCCATACAGAAGTGCTGGTGGAATCCACTGTCCCCTGTTGAGCCCTCCCCGCTCCCAGTGTGCTGGACACAGCACCGCCTTAGCCGTGACGTCATCAAACTGGACAACGGAGGTCGCTCTGCCCAGGATTCCCTGAAACCCTGCCTTCCCCAACTCATGGCCCCACCCGAGCCACATCCAGGTGTATTTGCAGCGAGACAGGTGCTCCTTGCTGAGCAGCAACTAGACTCACACTGGAGGCAGCTGGCCTCGGTTTCTGGTGTGGCCTTTTGAGGCAACTATAAGCACAGCATCTGGGGATTGCCTGCTGAATCTAATCTTAACGCCCTGGAGGGGCAGAGGCTTGGGCTAAATTTGGCCTGCAGCTGAACCCCTCTCAGGACTGTGCCCCTGGACACCTACTTCACAAATCCAGGCTAACAAGACTGGTAGACTTAGGAGCTTTGCTTAGTACATAGAAACAGACATGGAAAGACAGCCAATATGGGAAGACAAAGAAGTAGAAACCATGAGAGAAGAGAACAGAGATCCAGATATAATGGAGTCAAGTAATCTAACAGATGCAGAGTTCAAAACACTGGTTATAAAGATGCTCAATGAACTTTTGG